GGAGGACGAGGAGGAGGAGGAGGAGGAGGAGAAGGAGGAGGAAAATGGCGGATGCCTGCACTGACCTTTTGCTGTGAAGACCTTTTGAGTTGCAGAAGCCTCGAGAGGGCATACTCGCAGGTGCCACTTCTCTGCGTAAGGTGATGGCACGATGAAGCCAACCAGGCAGGCAGCTGGTGCCTTGCACCGAGGGTCGGGGCTGGCAAGTCTTGTGATCGGTGCTTCGAGGAGCGTGGCAGCAAGCCGTGGGCTCCCTGTGTGCCGAGCGGCGGGATAAAAAAAACAGACGGCCCCGTCGGTGTCCTCTTCGGGCCTCCTGGGCCCCTCGAGGCCCTCTCGGGCCATCTCGAGGCGAGCTTCTTGAGCCCTGGTGCCTGCAAAGGATGGGGCCCTCCTCGGAGGCCGCACAGATTCCTCCTGTGGCCCTCTGGCACTCTTGGAGGCTACGGGGGATCTTTGGGGCCGTCTTCGGGCCCGTCGGGGCTCCTCCCGGGGCTCTCTGGAGCCGTGTTGGGGCCATCGCAAGGCCTCAGAGGCTCATCGGTGGCCCACAAGGCGGCACGGCAAAAGTCATGGATTCCCCGTTAGTTGTGGGACGAGCATTGGCCTCTTGGGGGGGGTTCCGGAATCTTTTGGAGCCGTCTTATGGCCCCAGAGCCCGAGGAGCAGCATTGTCTCAGATCTGATGCTTTCCAGTCTCTGGTCCTGCTTCTTGCCCTCCCTTGCCCCCTCAACTCGGCTACGCGTCAGACCGACCCCTCGCCGTGCCCGTTGATGCGCGCCCATTGGCCCCGTCAGGTCGCCGAATGCGATGCGACAGCAGCGGCTTGTGGTGCCCGGGTCTCGGCCCCCCGCGCCCCCCGAGGGCCTCGCTCGCCACAGGTCGCTCGCTGCCTCGTGCCGCTCTTGCGCGTGGCCGATCCGTGTGGGGCCTGCGCTGCCCTCGCTTCTGCCTCCTCCTCCTCCTCCTCCTCCTCCTCCACCACATCCTCCTCGTCCTCCTCCTCCTCCTCCTCCTCCTCCTCCTCCTCCTCCTCCTCCTCCTCCTCCTCCTCCTCCCCCCCTCGCTCGCCGCCGATCGGATATTTCTCCCTTCGGAGTCCTCCCCTGGCAGTTGGCGCTGGCCGGTCACCTTCAGCACACCTGTTTCGGGAGCCTTGAGACGGGGGTCAGTTCAAACGGGGGTCAGCCAGGGCACCAGATCCTGCAGGATCCTGCGAAGGCCCCCTCTGGCTGACCCGGGTCGGCGAGCCGCTCGTGGCCGCGGGGCGGCCGCGCATATTGGCTGGCCTGGGTTTGCGAAGATCTGCGCTGCAGTTTTTTTTTTTTTTCTCGCATTGCAGTTTTTGGTTTCCTGCCGACCCGCGTCTGGATTGACCTGGGTCAGAAGATCCCCGATTGTTGTCGGCGCCTGTCGCCCGCCCTTCCCTCTTTCCCCCCCTCCAGCACGGTGGCCCGATCGGCTGCAGCGGTGCCCCCGTGCAGTCAGCTCACCCTCCAGCGCAGTTGCTCTGCCTGGCCGCCGACGCGAAAAGGCTTTGGCGCCCGAGGCCGCCCGCGCACTCCTCCAGGCGAAGATCCCCTACAGCCGGGGCCCTGCAGAAGGAACCCTTTTCGTTGGGGAGGGGCTCGGTGTTCCTTGATTGTTCTACAGCTTGCCTTCTGTTCTCCTGAGGTTTTCCATGGGAGATCGAAGTTCAACTTATGGGAGAAAGGGGCCCCGTTCCTTATTTGGGGTTCCTTAGGTCAACGCCCCGACTGTATGCCTGAGGCCTTCCCCCTGTGTTCCCCCTCCGCGGCCGCCCTCTGCAGGCGCCGGCGGCTAGGGGCAGCTCCAGCCAGACACGTCCTCCTCCTCCTCCTCCTCCTCCTCCTCCTCCTCCTCCTCCTCTTTCTCCTCCTCCTCCTCCTCCACGTCCTCCTCCTCCTCCTCCTCCTCCTCCTCCTCCTCCTCCTCCTGTGTCGCCATGGGCTCCGGCAGACCTTCTCTGGCCTTACTGGCAAGGCACGCCCGTGTTGGGCCAGATGAGCAGCTGCAGGAGGTAGTGACCGACTCCGACACTATGAGTGGGGTCTTGTTCTCTTTTCGGAGACTGGGGTTCCAAGCAGCCCCTGCGGAATTACTTGTGGGCGTACTTTTTTTCGCAAACGGCACAGGCCATCATGCCATAGGCGTTGGTTTCTTCATCGACGTCAGACGCGGTGGCAAGCACGGATCAGTTGACATCAGCGACCAGAAAGAACCCGCACGTCGATTTGGAGTTTCACGGAAAAGCGTGCAGAACAATTGCTGCGTACATTCCGCATGCCGGATGTCCCGCCGCGTTCGCGCATTCAATTTACAAGCATTTGTTTGCATGTTGCCCGATAACACGAACGTGCATAGTCGGAGGCGAATTTCAGACAGAGTTGCATGAACCAGTTCGGGGGGATGCGCTGATTGATGTAGCGCCGAGGGCAAAGTTGCCATAATGTAGCAACTCCAGGGAATGGACGTTTTGAAGCAATCAGGGCCGATGCCGTTTCATCGACTACATTTTCATCGGCTCGCGCGCCAAGTGTATTACAAGTGGCATCGCACATCTTTTTGACTTTGGCTCTGCCCATCGTGCTGCATCTGCTACCCTAGAGTTCAAAGCTGCCCGACAATGAGCAAGCTGACATCACAATTGTCGATGCAAGCTCTCTGATATTTCCGGCCAGTACATTCAGCGATCCATCGGATTAGTTGGTATCCGGGCTGGTCGAGATTTATGCTAACAGTGTCGCTGATATCGAAATTGCCATCCGTTCTTCGGCGGGCGAGCACTGGCAGGCGCACGCCACGAGGACCCAACACCCTTGGACCTCAGATGTCGTCCTCCAGGTGAGGAGCGACCGGCATCAGGGGAGAGGCCCATCAAAGAAGAAAGCGTTGCATTGGCGCTGGAAGCGGATACGGCGGGAAAGTTCGGGTATGGAAGATTTCGGCTGGTCGAGCATATTGTGTCTAAGTTGAAAGGCTAATCCCGCTCGGCCGTTGTATGTCACGTTCCGGTTGAACGGGAAATGTTTGCCAGACGGCCAGGCGACGGGGAGTTTACGCGAGTTTGCGCTCAAATGTAATCGAAGGAGTGACCAGTTGAACAACTGCTCCCGCGAGGTGCTCTCCGCGACGCTCCTGTGTCCAGCACGGCAGAATTCAGGGCGGCCCTGACAAGGCTGGCACGCAGCAGAGCCGCCGACTCCAAGGGAATTGCGCGAGAGCGCACTTCACATTTACCTCTGCGAGCAAAGAGCTTGATTCCTGACCAGCACAACCAATCTCTGAACCAAAAGGGTTTTCCCGAAGTAGTGGTGGCACTCTGTTTTTCACGCTGCTGCGTAAGTCGGCAAATTGATTCCCAATCGCAGTGTCCAGGCGAGCGCCGCCTCTGTGCGAGGTTGCGCTCGCCAAGAGGCGGCGGCGCAGCCTGCTGGGGCGGCGGTTTGCCGCCAAGGATACTTGAACAATTGCGGCCTTGCCTGCGCCTGTCCAAATTCGTCGAGGACGTGGCGTGTCGGATCCGCGGCCGCCGTCGGCGATTGCGTCATGGCCGTTTTTCGCCCACGCGGCCCTTGCACATGCGCCCGAAAAGGATTCGGCGCCGACGAGGGTCTGCGCCGAGTGGAGCACATGGTGGGCTTCGTTCATCTGTTCAGTCAAAACCTTTGGATTGTGAGCTTCGACCTCGGCGACACGTTCGACGATGTCTCACGAATAGGTTATCGAGGCCAGCTTGCAGCAAGGTGTAAATGAGGCATGCGCTTGCTTGTTGCAAGAGCTGCGCTGGGCACAGACGGGTCAAGTTGGCACGAACGACGTCTTTTAGCTCCTCCGGGGCGTTCGCCAGGGGGACGTCTCGAGTTCGTTCTTATTCGACGCAGTCATGGTGATGGTGCTCAGCAGGTGGAAGGGCCGCCTCGCTACCCAGGGATGGGGAATCCCAGGAGAGGCGTAATGCTTCGCAGTCGATGTTCTCCTTTGCGCCCGCTCGCTGGAAGACGCTCGAGTCATGCTCCTCGCTGTTACGTGATGAGTTCCAAGCGTTTGGTCGGCAACTGACCGTTGCGAAGACGAAGGTCTTATCCTCCAGGTACTTGCGCGTTGCCCGGCATTTGCAACATCGAAAGTGTTGCAGGCCGCTCCAGACGATCCCACGCATACTTGGGGAACGCCTTCAATTGGTCAAAGAACAGGGCAGTTGTTGCCGTCGAGAAAAGGATGCCACCGGCATGGGGCCAATTTCAGAGGAACGCCACGTTCATAAGTCATCATGTCGGCGCTGGTCACCGCGTCAAGCTCTTCAGCTCCGCAGTCCGGCCAGTGCTCTTGCATGGGTTGGCCAGCTTTTCGCTCGCGGCTCAGCCCAACGCCATGCTCTGGGGAGCGCGGGCTAAGATGCACAGAAACATGTCAGGCTGGAGGAGAGTAAAAGGGGGTAGCTGGCAGGACACGATGCGCAGGATGCAGGCGCGCGTCGAGCATGCTGTCCACGGCAGCATCCGTGGACGTTTCGGGATGCGTTTTTTTGTTTTTGAAGTGGCGAGAGGTTCGCTGGCTCTTTAACGGAGGAATTGAGGTGGGCGCCCGTTTTTCGACGGTTGTCGTCGGTTCACAAGGGAGCGCGAGCCAGACCGCCGCTACAATGGAGCAGCGGCATCAATCGGTTCAGCTCGCACGTCAGCGCTGGTTCTTAGGAGCAGACGCTGCAAACGCAGGACAGGGAACAACATTGCGTCGAGTTCTGCTTTGGTGAAGTTGTCACACCCCTCCTTCCCCCGCTCCCCTCCCCTTCTCCTTTCTACCTCCCCCTCTCTCCGCTCCGTCTCCGAGTTGAAAGCGCATGCATTTTTCCGAATTCCAGATTCTGCTCGTATATATGTGTAGTGTCGATTTGTCTGGCTGGCAGATTGATTTTTCACTTATGCCGTGCACAAAGCCGAGCAGCCGACAGGCTCGCTTGAATGGTGTACCTCCTCTAGTGCTTTCCGTCCCTTGCGCTTGCGCTGGGGATCGGATGGGCCGCCGTCGAGGTCGCCTGATGGAGCCTGGCCGCAGGCGGGTGGCACCGCCGCGGCGTGGCGACCGCGGTGCAGCGCCGCAGCGGCCCGCCCTGGCCGCCGGCGCGGGCGCGACCGACGGCTGGCTGCGCGCAAGAGGGACCCTTCGCCAGAATGACATTTGGGGCCGGCCCCCACACAGGCCCACCCCTATTATGTTGGGCCTGTTTTCCACCACCACCACCACAAGTTGGAGGGGGAATGAGGAGGAGGAGGAGGAGAAGGAGGAGGAGGAGGAGGAGGAGGAGGAGGAAAAGGAGGAGGAGGAAAAGGAGGAGGAGGAGGAGGAGGACGAAGAGGACGAGGAGGAGGAGGAGGAGGAGGAGGAGGAGGAGGAGGAGGAGGAGGAGGAGGACACCTTCCCCCTCCAACTTATGGTGGTGGTGGTGGTGGAAAACAGGCCCATCATATCAGCGGGTGTGGCTTGGAATGCCCCTGGCCCAAAGTGCTTGCAGGATTTCCAGAGAGGCCCCCGTTGCCCCCAGAACGCCCCTTCACGAGGTCCACGGGGCCCCAGGCGCTCCAGAGTGGGACGGACAACTGGGGGCACCTGGGTCCAGGGGCTCCTTTGCTGGCAATCCCTGGCATCATTGACCAGCGCTGTCGGACTTGCCCCCTCACCCCCCCCCTCCCTAGCGGCGACGGGTTCTATGTCCACGCCTTCACGGTCGGGATTCCGGGCGCAACCCCGCGGATACGCAGTCGCACGAGTAGGTTCCGCGCGGGGCATTCACAACAAGAGCGCCCCGTATCCGCGGGGTCAGGGCCCAGGGGCCCCGCGAGGGTGTGGATACGAATATGTCTGTCGCTCGCGACCATCCCCTGCGGCCCCCCCAGGCCGCGCACCAGAGGTCCTTCTCTCCCAGGGTCACTTGTGCGTGCAGCCGAGGTAAGGGGCCACGCTCGAACGGCGCTCCAAGCAGGGGCGACGCGTTAGGAGGAGGATCGGCTCCGGGGGGAGACATCGACCCCCAATCGCCCACCGAACGCCGATAAGGGGCCCGATAGCCCCAGGCCCGCCCAGGACCGTGTGGATTCGCCCTCGGGGGCCCGTCGCCGATTCATCGGCGACGTGCCGCCGCTTCCAGCTCGATGTTTCCCTCCCTGAGCTGGTCCCCCCCCGACGTTGCCCCTCGGGCCTGCTGCCGTCCCGTCTCACCCGGGCACGAGCCCGCGCTCGCGCGCTCGCGCGCCCGCGCGCGCGAGCGGCACCGACAGCTGCAGCCCCCTGCTCGCGCCGCGACACGCTGCCGCTGCTGGTGCTCATCCCGATGCCTGCGCCACTGCAGCGGCCATGCCCGGTCACGGCCCTCCTTGGCCCCGGGATCTGAAGAAGAGAGCCCGGCATGAGCACAGGCACTCGGCGCTGCGCGCGGAGTTCTGCCCCTGGCGCGCTCCTCTCGCGCCATGGGCATGGGTCCGGCGCCGATCCAGGAGTTCCGCCAGGACCTCCGAAAGTGCATTTCCCAAGTGGTGCTTGCACTTACGTATGGGCTCTTATCTGCGATGCCAGAGGATTGGATGCGCATGCCGAGGATTCGCCACGTCGCCGCCCGATGCCGCCCGTTGTCGCGTGTGGGGGTATGCCGAGCATTCGCCACGTGGCCGCCACGTTACCGCCCGTTGCCGCCCCGGTGCCGCCTCGCTGCTGCTTCACCACACAGCATACGCCACAGAGCGTACACAACATAGCACCACATACCTCACACCACTTAGCTCACACACCACATAGCTCACACCTCCACATAGCTCACACACCACAGAGCTTGCAGCACGTAGATTGCACCTCATAGCTCACATCACTTGGACTGCACCGCCTGGATTGCGCCGTGTGGGTATGTCGAGGATACTGCGAGTTGCCGCCTGTTGCTGCCTCTGGGGACGTGCCGAGGACTCGGCTCGTTGCCGCCCGTTGCCGTCCACTGCCGCCTCGTTGCCGCCTCGCGGCCGCCTCGTGCGTTTTGCGGGTAGGTCGAGGATTCGCCCCGCTGTTGCCCGTGGCCGCCTGCTGCCGCCCTGTGGGGCCCGTGGGGACATGCCGAGCATTCGCCACGTTGCCGCCCGCTGCCGCCACGTTACCGCCCGTTGCCGCCCGGGTAACGCCTCGCTGCTGCTTCACCACGCAGCCCACGCCACAGAGCGTACACGACATAGCCTGCACCACGCAGCTCGCACCTCATAGCTCACTCCACATGCTTGTTTTTTTCTCGGACCCGTAACGCCCGTTACGGGGGGGGGGTCGCCCCCCCCCCCCCCCCGTAACGGTAACGAGCGTACGGGGACGGGGGTGCGGACCCCCCCTCCGTCCAGGCAGGCATGCTGTGACGCTCATAGGGGCTCAGGTTCGAGGTTCGAGGTTCGAGGTTCGAACCTCGGCGCAAACTCAAAATGGGTCCACGGGGCCCGACTGGGGCTCAGACGCACCAGTTTCCCGAGCCGCGTCCAGCCGCGGCGACGACGAAGGCCCTCGAGGGCCAGGATGCCTCGATCCTCGACGTTCGAGGTTCGCATCCCTCGGCGCGAACCTTTCAACGGGCCCCGGCCTGGCCCATCCACCTCCTTTGCCTTGCTTCTGCACTCCCTCCAGTGCTCGTGCCCTCCACCTCCTCTCACCTCCTGGGGGGAGGGGGGAGCGAGGCAGAGGGAGGAGGAGGAGGAGGAGGAGGAGGAGGAGGAGGATGAGGAGGACGAGGAGGACGAGGAGGGTCGGAACAGGATCGGAGGAGGAGGTGATGGGGATCGGAGGAGGGGCATGAGGAGGAGGAGGGGGCAGAAGAGGAGGAGGAGGAGGAGGAGGAGGAGGAGGAGGAGGAGGAGGAGGAGGAGGAGGATGGAGGATCGGAGGGGGATCGGAGGAGGAGGGGGATCATCTTCCTACCTAAGGTACGGCTTAGTCGTACCGTCTGGCCTTCAGAGAAGCCCTCCGTGTCTTCGGGGGAGGCTTGGACATCTGAGCCTTCTCAGAAGGCCCGCCCCCTGTCATTTCCCCTCTCGGCTCGTCGCCAAATCTTGCGGGCAGTGCCAACGGGCACTGCGCTTCAGCAGTTGATCGGCGGTGTGGCGCGCCACAGGTGCCACATAATGGTCGTTGTCATCCCTGCCGCGTCCGTTGTCATTATCCTGCGGGCTGCACCCGGAGTCCCGACGCCCGCCTGCCAGCACGACGTTTCCCCGAACAGTGCGCGCACCAGGAGTTCCGTTGAAACGCAGCGCCACAAAGTGGCCCCGCCTTTGGCGCAACCTGTGGCGCAACCATCGACGCAACCTATGGCACGCCCTGGGGGCGCAACCTAAGGCGCAACGTAAGGCGCGATTTGTGGGGCGCCCTGGGTGCGCAACCTATGGCGCAAACTATGGCACGCCCTGGGGGCGCATCCTATGGCGCAGCTTGCGGCTCAACCTATGGCGCAGGTAATTGCACGCAAGCACAACGTGTGGTGTAACGCATCGGGCAAGCCATGGCGCAACCAGCCGGTGCACTTTCACAATATTCTTATGACTACTACCACTGTCCTCCCTCCATTCTCCCTGTGCTGGTGCAAGGGGCTGGACTGGGCGAGACCTGCACGCGGATGTGGCCGCATGTCCTTCCAGCGCTCGGCCCTCCTACCTCGCGCGGCTGGTCACGCCAGCCCCCCGCATGTGTATCCAGCAAGTGGGCCCCGAGCGCTGCTAAAGCTTTCGGCAACTGGCTGCGGACACGGCGGCGGCGGCGGCGACGGCGACGGCGGCATCGGCGGCGACGACGACGGCGGTGACGACAGCGGCGGTCACCTTCACCGCCGCCGCCGCCGCTTGCCGCCGTCGGCGTCGTCGCCGTCGCCGCCGCCGTCGTCGTCGTCGTCGTCGTGGTCGCCGTCGCCGCCGCCCGTGTCGCCGCCGCCGCCGCCGTCGCGCCTCCGGTCGCCGTCGCAACTGACGGCGACGACGACGACGCACCCGCGTGCACGCTCCAGCCGTCGACCCATGTCTCAAGGGCACTGTGCCTGTGCAGGGAGTTCCTGCTTCCTGAATTCCCTAGGCTGCCGCCGCCCCGCGCGCCCCCACGGTGCGTGGTTTACACTCCGCACCAAAAAACCGTACACAAGTTTTGCGGTTGGGCCCCGAGCGATCTTCTGGACTTTCGCTCCGCCGGTACCTTACAGGTGTACACAACCTTTGTGGTGTACACTGGCATTCTGGTGCAAACACGGGGCGTTGAAACAGCAGCTGTGGTGCACGCGAGCGCCGTGGTGTGCACCAACAGTGAGATGTACAAGGGCGCTGTGGTGCACCCGCCTGTCATGATGTGCTCAGTCGCCGTGGTGCACACACATGCCATTTCTGCCGCAGTTGTGGTGTACAAAGGCATCGCGGTGTACAGAGCCTGTGTAGTGTGCACAGGCACGGTCGGCTTCGACGACGACGACAGCGGCGACGCGACGACGACGACGACGACGAAGCCTACAGTGCCGACAGTTGTGCTGGTAATAAGTGCCAGGGCCCGTGCGAGGGCCCCGCCGCGCGTTACCGTTACCCCCAACTTGGGGCCGGACCCCCCCCCCCTCGTAACGGGCGCTGCCCCCCCCCAGTTAAAAAAACAAACTCCTTGCACGACGCAGCGCGCACCACATACTTCTGCCACGCAGCATACACACACCCACGGTGTCGCAACTTGCTCTGCTCTGGGTCCACGCCGGCTGAGATGCTCGTGCCGACCGAGGTTCCTCCAGGGTGCGACCTGCTTCTCGTCGCCCGCCGCCACCTCATGAGAGAGCCGGGCCACGTGCCACCCCTCGAGGCCCGCTCTCGCTCGTATGCCGCCTTCGTCCTAGTCTCGGAGGCCTAGAGGTTGACACCAACACCAGTATCGGCGGTGTGCCTCCACCGAGGGAAGAAGATCCCGATCTCGGTGATGGTTGTAATTTTATGGCTTCAAGGTGACCGAAATATTACCACCAATACCGAAATCTAGGAACATCATCCCCTTGTGGAGCCAGCCCCCTGTGTTGGTGTTGGTGCCCATTTCCAGGCCTCCAATAGTCCGCCTTCTGCCGTCAGTCCTCGTCTTCGTCCGTCCTCTCCTGGTGTTCCCTCTGTTCTCGGCCTCGCCCCGAGCCGCACACCCTTTGTCGTCCTCTCCTCACTCCCTTGTCTGTTCTGTCATCGTCCTGATCTTGCCCGATACTCCAGATTTCGTAATAAAGGGAGGGGGGTCTCATTTCGGGGGGGGTCTCTTCCAGGCTATCTTGGAGGGCCTGGGGGGGTCTGGGGACGATGTTTTGGAGGGTTCTCCCACGGGGGAGGTCTGAAATGGCTTGTCTTGGAGGGTCCAGACCCCCTCCCTTTTACTACGACATCTGGAGTATCGTTTTCATATCACCCTCGTCTTATAGTCGGCATGTGATTGGCAAGCGCGGCGATCGTGAGAGAATCTTGCGAGAACTGTCCGAGAATCCGGCGAGGATGGCGCGATTGGGAAGACTGGGCGACGCAGATGGGAGAACGCTCGTCGCAGACCGCAGCCCCGCGACTCGCGGCCCCCGCCTCGGCCCGCTCCTCCAGGCCTCCGGGTCGGAGGTTGCCAGGGTGTCCCCCAGCTTCTCGCTCCATTCTGGAGCCCCTGGCACCCTCTGGGCCTACGGTAGGTTTGCGTCGTGTGGACCAGCGGCGACCCCAGCGCGGGCGTTCAAGGTTGAACGCCGCCGGCGACCCAGAATCGATCGATGTCGAACGATCGGACGTTGCGGCAGCGGCCGATCGTTCAAGGTTGAACGATCCCTGCGGTGTCAGAAACCAACGCCGAAGTCGGCACGACACGAACCTGTCGTAGTTAATTACCAGTTTGACGCATATCCCTATCCCTACGTTTGGCATCGCCTCCCCCCGATTCCGATCTTCAGGTTCCCTCAGTTTCTGAGGGCACATCCCTGAGATCGTGATCGCTTTTGGCTTGTTCATTTTGGGGACAGGGGCAAATTCGAGTCTGGTCAGTCACGGGTGCTCTGGAGGCCGTGGTGTCCTCCTCGGAACTATTGGGGACACCTTGGGTCAGGGGAAGGAGCACGACGACCATGACCAAGATGTCGCGGGACCGCGGCTGCCCTTCTCCAAGGGGCCAGCACGAGGGCGCGAGGGCGCGAAGGTGATCGCACGTCGCCAGGCGCGAGGTGCGAACACAGGTGGCCTATCCTCGTTCCCTGTCCTCCGGGGCCCACTTCTGCCAAGAAAGGAAACGCCACCCCCCGACCCGTATCCTTGGCGTTTGCTCGACGGCCCCGGGCATCTACTGAACAGCCCTGCCCTGTTTGATCCCTTCTTCGGGTGCGTTCGCTGAACGGCTTCGCTTGTCGGGGTGGTGCTTCTTCTGCGGGTAGTCTTTCTATTCTCTACAGTCAACCATGATAGTAAGGATTGGGTGACCTTCCAAGGCTACCCTTGCATCCTTGCCCCTTCGGTATTCGGCATCCTTCGGCACTCTGCTGCGCTCCGCACGGAACACGTCACCATGGCGTTCCGAGGCCCGTGCATCCTCATTGCGCGTCTTTACCATCCTGATCGAGCGTACACGCCGGTCGCTGAAAGTAGGTATTTCTGGATTCCCAGATCCCAATCTGCTCCAAACGCCTTCCTGCTTCCAGAATCGACGCGCTTCTGCTGTGTCCTGTGATTCCCTGGGGGGGGGCCTGGACCCAATCAACCTGATCCGCCTTCCTACCGAGGCGGAGGAGGAGGAGGAGGAGGAGGAGGAGGAGGAGGAGGAGGAGGAGGAGGAGGAGGAGGAGGAAGAGGCAGCACCCGGCCCGGCGAGAGCCCCGCGGCGCCCGCGCCCCCCCCGGAGCCGCCGCCGAGCAGCGGGGTTGCCGCGCGCCGCACCCTGGGGGCCCAATGGCCGACCTCTGGGCCCGCGACTTCCGGGGCGGCCCGAGGCCGCCGCCGCCGCCGCCGCGCTCGTCCCGCCGCCCTGCCCGCCGTGCCCCCTCTATCGGGGGCCACATTCGGGGGTGGACAGACCTCCTACCCTGACACGTCGATTCGTGAATTGTCCGTTTTCGGTTCTCGAGAGGGCGCCGCGGCCGTCAGTTTCCAGGCTTGCGCCCGCCAGGTTTGGGCCCGAGGTCGTTTTCACTAAACCACGTTTTACTAAAGGGAGGTCTGTCCATCCCCGACACATGGGAACCCTACCCCTACCCCCCACGATTTCTGAGGGGGAGGGTGGGGTTCACTTCGCTCGGGAGCTCCCGAACGAAGTGACCCCCCCCCCTCAGAAATCGTGGGGGGCAGGGGTAGGGTTCGCATGCGGCGCCCTACTCTAGCCCTCCGCCCTCGAAGACGAGGGAGGCACAGAGGAAGAAGCAGAGGAGTGGTCATCAGGAGGGCCAGGGGACGAAGGACGGTACTACGAGCAGTGGTAACACCTGGTAATCGTTAGCAAGAGGAGCAGTGGTAATGCAGGGAAGGGCAAGACTAATGCAACTGAGATTCAGCATGCTAAGACTAATGATGGTAAGGATCATACGGGCAAGAACACGAATCGTACCAATAACCGCAATAATGATCATTGGAGCGGCACGAGCAAAAACTGTCGGAGGGCCGCGCGGATCTCTTCAGGCGCGTTCTTCCTCCTCCCCCCCCCTCCTCCTCCCACTCGGAGGTTCGCCCGTGGGCCTCGCCGGCTCTCGCGGCCGGACGACCGGGGCACCCCACGGGGCGTTTTTTGTGTCCTCCCCTTCCGCCCAACCCCCCCGCGCGGAAGAAGCCCCTGCAGGGCGGCGCCGTCGGCACACAGAGGGCAGGAGGCGACGGCGGGGCGCCGGCGCGGCCTGCGGTGGCCCGCCCGGGGCCCGCGGAGCGGGGCGGGGCCCACCGCGGGCCTGGGCGGCGATCGCCGGGGCGGCGGTCGGCCGCAGCCGCGGGCTGCGCGGGCTGGGCCTCGTGCTGGTGTGCAGGTCGGGGCTGGGCCTCGACGGTGACTGGGGCGATGTTTCGTGGGCCGCTGTGCTTTCGACCTCGTCGTGCGGCAGAGGCGGGCGGATGAGATGCTCGGAAGTCTTCAGCCGCTCCCTTCCCCGCCCTTCCTCTCCTGCTCCCTCTTTTTTGTCCTGTCCCCACCTCCCCAAGCTTGTTATCCCTCGTCTGCTCTCTGCTCCCCCTTCTGCACCTCCTCCCCCCTCCCCCTTCCCCCCCCCCCCCTCCATCCTCCCCCGTGCCTCCCTTCGGTCCCTCCTTCCTTGAGGCTCACGTAGAAACGATGAGGTAAGTGCAACCTGGCCCACGAACGCTTAAGCAGACAGAAACTCCGGGTCATATCACCGAAGGGAGCAAACAGTTCTCATAACTCGAGGGGTGTGAACCGTGACGGCTCCGGGCGGGATGTCAGGCTGGCCTCCAGCCGCTCAGGCTTTTGTGTCGGGGGGAGCCGCAGCAGTGTCTGACGCACTCCTCCTCCTCCTCCTCCTCCTCCTCCTCCTCCTCCTCCTCTTCCTCCCCCTCCTCCTCCTCTTCCTCCTCCTCCTCCTCCTCCTCTGTGAGCGGCGCGGGGAGCGGCACGGCCGGGCGAAGCCGTGCGCTCGGTGGCAGGAGCGGTTCGCGGCGCGGGGCGGGCTTCTGCCGGAGTGCGTCGAGCCAGCGACCGAGCGCTCGGCGGAGGCGCCCAATCAAACGACGCGAGGATCGGGACAAAATTGGATCGGGATAACTCGAAATCTCTGAGAATCGGCGGGTTTGGAGGATGTATTGGGCGCCGCGGCCGCTCCAGAGCGTTCCGGAACGCTCTGAGAGCGCTCCGGAACGCTCTGGAGCGAGTTATCCCGATCCTAGCCCTGTTTTAAGGCTTCCACTGGAGTGCGCCGAGCCAGCGATCGAGCGCTCGGCGGAGGCGCCCAACACCACGGTCGTCCAGGCCAAGAAAGGCCAGCAGTCAGACGCGGCGAATCGCGTGGGCAGGCAGGCCCTCCAAGGCAAGGAGCGCCCACGCGCACCCGACACAGGGCTCGTTTCGTCAGGGGGCAGCACCTGAGAAGGAGGGCGCATGTTTGGGTTGCATTAAGATACGAAGTATATAAAGCCGTTCCGACCAACAACATATATGTACATCTATTTTACCAGTTTCCCCGGGAGACCTTGCATTTCTTCTCTTCCGCCTCCTCCCTCCGGTGGGGGTCTGCTTTTCCTTGCCCTCCTCCTTTTATTCCTCCTGAGTCCAGAGTCCGAGTGAGACGCGCATAGTGCTCCAGGCGACCCACGTGTACCGCAGCATGATTACCATGTCTCTCAACACGGCTATAGTTTTTTCATCGTTCCTGACGGGGCAGACGAAGGTTTTACCAGGACGCGCGAAGGTTGTGCACAGGTCGACCTACAAAGACGAGTTCCGCGCATAATTATGTCCGATAGTATTTTCAGCAGCGGGTGTTTTCGGCCGCTATCTTGGCTGCCATCTTGGCTGCCCAGTGTTCTCGCATATCGTGCAATTCGACGATTCAGGCTCAAGTTTCCAGTCGTGATGCACGTCGTCGTTATAGTAGATGGTTGAAGGGCTGTGGTGTGCCATGCGGTCGTCGTGTAGCAGCTCGCGCGATTTCTGGAGCTAGCAGCCTCGGGTGCGAAGCGTCAATTCGAAGGGTTTACGCACTATCTCTTTCCACCTCATTTGCCGCCCTCCCAGCATGCCCTCCTCCCCCGCCTCCTCATCAGAGGGTTCAGGCGGACTGGCTAGAAGCCGTATCGAGCATTTTTTGGGGGGAGGGAGACGGGGTGGGTCGAGATCGAGAATGAGGTGGTGTACCCTGGAGGAATGCTCTCAAACCTGGGCTGTGGAAGCGATGAGTAACATCCAATTATCCCAGTCTCGAAGGGATAACTGTTCGTAGGCGCGAACGGGGTTCATCAATCTCGACGCTCAGCTGAGAGTACGAAGGCCTATTTTTACATCATGATGATGGTGATGATGATGATGATGATGATGATGATGATGATGATGATGATGGTGATGGTGATGGTGATGGTGATGGTGATGGTGATGGTGATGGTGATGATAATGGTGATGGTGGTGGTGGTGATGGTGATGATGCTGTGTCTGTATATGTATGTAGATATGTTTTGGCGTTGTTTGTTTCCTCTCCGCCGTTCCTTGCTGTTTCTCGACATCCTCTATTCCCTTCTCTCCTAGACGCCTTAGAATGCAATAAGCTGCCCAATCCTCTCGTCCCCCTCTTCCTTCCCTCCTCTTCCTCTTCATTTCCCTCCTCCTCCCCATGTTCCTCTTCCTCTGTTTCTTCATCCCATTCCATCCTTCCTCTTCGCCTCTTCCTCGTCCCCCTCTTCCTCGCAGTCATCCTCCGTCCCTTCTCCTCGTCCGCCTCCCCTCAACCTCCCCCCCCCTTCCCTTGCTTTGCCTCCCCTCCTGCTGCTCCTCGTCCCCCTTCACCCTTCTCTGCGGCTTCCCGAGGCCGCTGTACCCGTCGCGGCAGCCGGCCTCTCTGCTGGACCGCCAGAGGAGCGCGCCCTTTCTCTGAAGCAGCGGCGAAGCGTCCTGGCTCGCCTAGAGGCCTACCAGAGAATGTTCTAAGAACCTTTTTTGTGGTCTGCACGAAGTGTTCTTAGAATCTATCAGAACATTTCTGGCCTCCAAGGTGACCGAAATATTACCACCAGCACCGAAATCTAGGATCATCTTCCCCCTGTGGAGGCAGCCCCCTGTGTTGGTGTTGGTGCCCATTTCCATGCCTCCAAAAGGAGCATGGAGAGGAGCAGGAGGAAGAGGAGGAAGGATGCGAACGCTACAGCACACTGGAAAGGAGGTATGCAGGGAGGGAGGGCGGAGTTCGCGCCGCCGGAGTGGGATCGGCCGCTTCCTGCTAGAGTTGGTGCGCTCTCGGGCGGAGTTCTTGTGAGCCAGCGCGGGAAGACGGAGCACTGGATCCCCGTCCTCGATGCCGGCAGTTCAGATCAGTGTTCTCTTTTCCCCTCTTCTGCCTCGTCGGCGTCGTCGTTGTCGCCTTTCTCCTCCCCCCTTCTTTAAAATTAATGATGTTCCAACTTACTTTGGCCTTGATCACCAGAAGGAAGTTCGAGCACCAAGAAAGTACCGAATCTGGAGTGTTTCCACGTGTCGGGCCCTGGGAGGCGATGCTCGTTCGACACTGCCTCGATGCTTTTTTCTGGGTGCTCGAGCTTCTTTCCGGGAGGTGGTCCTCGAGTACGTTGGGAGCAACACGAGAGGGGCCGAAGAGTTGATTCATTATCATAAACCACAATTGCTTCTAAAACGTACATTCCGCAAATACCATCATAAGAAGCTCCTGATGCATGCACATAAGCTGCAGAGGCAATCGAAAATATAGACGAGATTAGCAAAGAAATATAACCCCTGGAAGGGTCCGTGCAGCTCGCCCTCCCCGCCGAGCCCCGGGGACACGGCGGCAGCGGCCCGCGGGTGCTCGGCGGCGAGGGCCTCGCTGCACCACCGGGGCGCACCGCGGTCCGGGCAGCGCGCCCCCCCGTGCAGGGCGACGGCGAGGGCCTCGCCCAGGTCCTGCCGGCCTGGGACATATCCCTATCCCTATGCTGGGCACCTCTTCCTCCTCCTCCTCCTCCTCCTCCTCCTCCTCCTCCCTCCTCCCTCCTCCCTCCTCCCTCCTCGCCCTGCCCCTCCCCAGCGGACCGCCCGCAGCGGGCGCCCCGGCGGCGGCGCGGCCACCGCGCCGGCGGCCTGCGCCTATCCCTAAGATTGGCATCACGATGCCAATCTTAGGGATTCCCTTATTTTTTTTGAGTGCGAACCCCTAAGATTGTCATCGCCTTTTGGCGTGTCCATCTCAGGGATAGGGGTACGTTCGAGGCTGGTAAAGGTTGGCCTGCAGGCAGGTGCCCCGCGGAGATCCCACCTCCACCGATGGCCCCACTTGGAAGGAAGCCGGCCTTGGCAACGTTTGGGGGTCTTGTAACGACTTACATCTACCCGCCAACCTCCTTACATCTACCCGCCAACCCACCAGGAACTCCTACTACATCCTGGTAAGTAGCGCTACGCGCCCTAAACACTTACTTTGCTTACGCATGTTGGCCATTGTGTTACTAAAGAAGTCAGCGGCTTGTAGGGTTTATCCCCTATCGTTACTTACGCTTAACAATTCCATCGTGTAGTTAGCGTAGAGTTAGCGGGATACTTATAAGAGAGTTACTGCGATTAGCTAAGTGGTTCGCTGATGTTAGTAAGGAGAGTTAGCGGGGTTAGCTAACTGAGTTAACGGGGCTAGCTAAGTGAGTTAGCGGGTTTAGCTAAATGAGTTAGCGGGCCCCTGGGAGGTCCAGCGGAGTAGTATCCCAGCCAGGTCGCAATGAAACCTATGGGACTGCGAACAGCGAAACTGTCACCAATTCCGTGGGCTCCTAACGAAACTGTCACTACTTTCGTGGGCTCCTGGGAAGCTCAGCGGTGTGTTCCTTAGCCATTTGGGCTCGAGCACCTTGCTGGTGCACCAGGATTTTCTGCAATCCGAATACACAATGTCTGCAGACTACAGCGCAGACTTTCGGACGGACCGTGAGACGGTGGATGCTTTGAAACAAATTGAGGAGCCGATTGCACGCATCATTTCAAAATTTGATCACGATAAAAAAGCAATCGAAGCGTTCGATGGAATTATTGATGTACTATCGGAACACCCAACGCTTCTATGGAAATCAGTCGCGCAGGCTAAGTTCATGGGCGTCCATCGTGGCAACAGGGGCGGGCTGGGAGTGAGCGTTCAGGACGCTTTGAACAATGGATGTAAACACGTCAAGGCTGGCTACAGCTATCGTAAGGCGAACGAGGGAAACTTTGCAATCGAGATGCGTCATGGGACCCGAACATATGAAGAGCACTTGACATATAACAACGGTATGTCCAACATGCATGGGCTGCCTTACTTTTCATCGATGTATGCTGCCAGCTTCGGCGGGAGCCATGGCAATCTATTCTTGAGGGCGATCGGTGCCAAGCTCCCGTGCGACGTCGAAGGGATTTCTCACAATGGGTGCCTCGATGAAGAGTCTCTGATCCACAAGAGCCCTGGGCTTGTCCAGCCTCTCAAGTTCGGGTTTGAATGGACGATCATAGCGATGGATGTTTCTTTGAAATTTCCTAAACTCGTTTCGATTGGACAGGCTGCGTTGAACCACAAAGGGACGTTGGAAATTTCAGAAATGGAAGGCCTCATCACTATGCACGCGAACTACGGTGCACAAAGATCTGGGGGGGCCAACGATGCAGATGCATGGGAAGCAGCCGTCGCCACGTCGTTATTGTCGGAACCTTTTTGGGCGAGCTGGGCCAAGAGCCTTCAACGATTCGCAGCCGTGACAACCAAGGAGCAGATCGAGGAGGCAAAAGACATACGGAGTGTGCTTTTCAAAGCGCCGAGTTCGGCAAGCTCAGCATGGGGCCATCTAGGTGGAAGCTACTTTGACAAGCTGGCTGGGCTCAAATGGAACACAATAACACAATTCCCTCGCGTGAGGGTTGCAGCGATGATGGCGCAATTTCTTTCGCCGGTTGAAAAAATAATTGATCAAAAAAGTTGCAATATCAAAGAATCGGATATTAACAGGCTTACCAAGGCAAGCGAGTTGGAAACTATTCAAAAAGCCGAAACTATGATGGACCAGGCCAGAGAGATCGTTGCTGATGTGGAATTGGATGAGCATGAAAAATTACGGTTGATTGGGTGCCACGACGTACGCATTTTATATTTCTTAATCAAAAAAGGGAAGCAGTCCCCCGAGGCCGTGGATCATAAATTTCTTGAGGTGTGCGGACAAGTGTTCTTGGATGCGTTGAAAGCGCGCACTGGCACGACTGTGGCCAACCCATGGGTGAAAAAACAAACGTATACTTACGAAAGGTCCGCCGAAGGTGCACCCCATCCCCCTCAGGGCCACGTTGATGGGCATTCCAAGCATCATCGATCCTCATCCCGTCCTCCTCCTGTCCTCCTCCTCCCGTCCTCCGCCCCCCCTCCCTACTACTACTACATATCATCATCCACATTGGCGTTTTGTCGCATGAGCTTAGTTAGGAAATCTTGAGCTTGGAATGTCGGCAACCTGGCCTTGAGTTGAGCTGGAAACCGCAACTCGCCGCGCCAAGGTCGCCGCACATGTGCCTTAGATTCACCAGCTGGCTGTCCAAGACATCAGGCAGTGAAGCGTGAGTCTTCGGGATATGTTGCGGTGATCTTGGTGCCTGGGTGATTGTGGATTTGAGCTCCATGCGTAGGTGCCCACAGTAGAGGTTCCACCGAGCACGACAGAGCCTTCATCATCGGCCAGCGGTGTGGAAACGTTGCAAGTAGCGCAGCAGACAATGGAGAATGTGAAAGACCCCAAGTTTCAATTATCTCTACTGGGCTACAAGCCCGATGCCATCGTCAAGGCCAAGAAACCAGACCCCGCCGTCAATTGTGTGCTCTTCAAGATTGCCACCATCGATGGCAGGTTGTGTAAACTTATCCCAACTGGCGTGCATGACACGGAGCCTGAGCTGACCGTCGGCTTGACTGATCTCAAAGACAAATACATTATCACCACCCAGAAGCCCCAAAGCAAGGTCGATTTCTTGTTGTCAGTGCCAGAACAATGCGACAGCTGGAAAGTGATGAACGTGACAGCACACATCACGATTGCGTTGGTGCGCATGAGTGAGAGATTCTCACATGTGTACGACGGCTTGGAAGTATTTACCAATCCAGTGGCAGTTCGCGCGTCAAAAGCGTACGCTGTCGGTGAGTTGACACTCGTCCCAGTCAGCAAGAACATCAAGGATAGGAAAGTGGAGGTAGCGTGCCCCGACAAACATGTCGACTTGGGTAAGTTGCTGGACTCGCCCCCAACGTCGTTCAGCTTCCAGCAGCAGTGGTCTTGCAAAGGCAATGACCATGACTTCACTCCGCCATTTTGGTGCATCGGTGAAGCGCCTCCCGGTGAGTCAGTCAATATGATTTTGAAAAAAATTGCCGTGAGCAACACTGTGCACGTGACCAGCCCGCCCAACGTAGGCGACGCGCTGGGCATCTTCCCCGTCCAAGTGCCGATTCTGCAGAACCAGCGTGTAATTAAGCCAGGTGATTTTCTGTATGTCCGTGGTCCTTCGAAGAGGACTACTACCACGGACGATCGCACTGATGGGAAGCGCCGAAAGTAAGACAGCTCCCCACCGAGACTTACATATGCCAGGAAATTGGCCACCAACAAAAACACAAAAAAAATAGCCAGGAGGACGAGGGTGGAACATCTGATTTGATGTTGTTATCTTTGCCGCGCTGAGTGGCACTCAACCTGGCTTCTGGGACACGATTGGGCCTCGCTTGCAGCTCGCGCTGCCCCGCTTGCTTTTGCACGCACGTACTTCCATTGTACGGTGCCGCTTCTACTACACGAGGTCTGTTCCCCATAGCCTGTGCATGGTTGGTGCGATTGTTGGCCTGGCATCAACATAAGCGACATAGCCTGTTC